CAGATAAGAACATAATTAAATATTTAGTATTGTTAGCAGGTACAGGAGCTCTTTCTCTAGTAGTAATAGAAGCTAGCAATGAAAAGTAAATGAAAACAGGGGCACAGGAGGTCATATTCATTAAAACAGTTTAAACTGTTTTAAAGGTGAAAAAACATTGTAATAGAGTTTTATTAGGAACTAATAGTGCCTTAACTGTGAATATGTAAATAATAATTCATCAACCATGTGGTAATACTGACAACCACAATTATTTTTAAAATAATAATGAAATAAGCTGTCTGAACCACAAAAAAACCATGTTAGAAACTCAGAGTTTATGAAAAAGAACTTTTCAAATTTAAGCCACAGTCATCATGTGTTAGCAATACCAAATTACATAATTGCACTATGGCCTAAAATTCTAATTTTCCAACATTAAATTGAATTATTTGTTAAAATGTATGGCACTTACCTGTTACAGGATCCTGTATTCTACAACTGAATAATAATGAAATACAGAGGAGAATCCAAAAGGACGCATGAAAGTAAAGTAACTGGCACAAAGCTCAAACCCAAAACCCAATTCATTTACTCCTACTCAGCTGCATTTTGTTTCTTAATTTACTAAGTATAAACTATTTGTCAAACTGTTCTACCACCATAGATCAACAGTTGCCAACCGAAGGCAAGGAGGCTCCCTCACAGCAGGGAGACTGAAGTCCCAGAAATTCAAATTCCTGAAGCCTGACAATCTGCAGGCGTAGAGCAACGTTGGAAACAAAGAGCAGACACATGAATTAGGAGAAAAATTACAGCTTTACAAACAAGTGCCTCAGCCCTAGGTAGTACCAACAAATTAATTGAAAAATCATAAAGAAAAAAACCCCACAGCATTGTGGAAACAATGATTTGATGACAACCATGAAAATGCTTGATAATCCATAAAGCGACATGCATTTCCCAGTCAGAGGATCCGAGTTCTCCTCGTGATGCTGGAGCTAATCACCAAGTGAACGTGGACAAAGTGCTTCCCATCTGAAGACAGCAATGATAATCCCTGCCTACCACACAGGGATGCTAAGGTTCAAATGAGATAACCTTTGAAATCTAATGCCTTATACCTTAAGAAATGGAGTCATGTGTGATTCATGCTATATTTTCTATTTTTTTTAAAAAAGATTTTATTTATTTGAGAAGTAGAGTTACAGACAGTGAAAAGAGATAGAGAGAAAGGTCTTCCATCTGCTGGTTCACTCCCCAAATGGCTGCAATGGCTGAAGCTGAGCTGATCCGAAGCCAGAAGCCAGGAGTTTCTTCCGGGTCTCCCAAGCGGGTCCAGGGGCCCAAGTGCTTGAGTCATGTTCTACTGCTTTCCCAGGCTATAGCGGAGAGCTGGATTGGAAGAGGAGCAGCTGGGACTAGAACCAGCACCCACATGGAATGCCCGTGCTGCAGGCAAAAAGATTAACCTACTGCACTACAGTGCCAGTCCCTAAAAAGCTTTTGATTCTATTTTTGATAGATTTTAGAGTTTAAAAATTATTTTACACATTTTTGTAAGGTATATACACAGAAAAAGAGTGACAAAGATAGCAATCTTCCATCTACTGCTTCACTTCCCCAAATGTCTAAAACAACCAGAACTGGACCAGGCTGCAGCCAGGAGATAGGAACTCATTATGTATCGCCCACGTTGGATGAGAGGGACCCAACTACTTGGGCCATTATCTGCTACCTCCCAGGGTACACATTAGCAGGAAGCTGGACTCCAAAATAGAAGACTCAAACCCAGGCACTCAACACTCAGATATGGGATGTAGGCAATCCCAAGTGGCATCTCAACTGCTGTGTCATACACCTGCTCCTATTTATACTCCTTTATCACAAGAACATAACTTAATGGGGCACACCTTTACCACCTTACTGAAGTCCCAGAAGTTCCTGCAGCCTGACAATCTGCTGATGAAGAGGAATGTTGGAAACAAAGAGCAGACACATGAATCAGGAGAAAAATTATAGCTTTACAAACAAGTGCCCTAAGTAGCACCAAGAGAGAGGTCTGAATATTTGAGATGTTTTGAATATGCATATTTTTACTCTTGGCAAGAGTATGAAATTTAGGTCATCAAACAATTTCAAGCACTGGTCTCTGGCTTATTCTTTGACGGCCTTGGTGTCAAAAAACAGCAATGTAGTCTGAATCAGCACCATCCCTCAGCCATCAGGCCTCGGGCAAAGGCTCTAAGCTGAGTCTTCTCAAAGCCTTTAAGAATAGCTATCAGTTTGTGTTTCATTTTAGTTTTTTTAGGATAGTTGTTAACATAATATTGTTAATTGTTAACATAAGCCCTTATATTTGACAGAATTTAAATTTCATAGAGCACTTCCATGTCATTGGAAATTAATACCTCCATCCTGAAAGGTAAGTATTACCCCTATTATACTGCAGAAAGAACAGGAAAATATAAACAAAAGTCTTGCCCAGTCACACAACTAATACACAACAGAAACAGAATTACAAGAGAATGATTAAGCTGCAACAATGTTTTTTTATCTTATCAAAATATTAATGAGCACAAATATTTGAGTAATTGATATAATCAAGATGACGCAAGAAAATGTTAGTTGGTTAAGTAAAAGTAACTAAAAAATGCAGTCTTGAAGCTTTTCCCTGACTCAGACAACCTATGTGTAACTTTTTCAAAAAAGCAGAATAGCTGAATCTTTTTTGCTGAACAATTGTCATTTTAGTTTTGACAGTTTGAAGCTGACATCTCATGCAAAAAAAAAGTTCGCAACTTTGCTTCACTTCTGGTTTGGCCTGAGTATCTTTTCCAAAAGCACAGCAATTTAATGCTTTACATTTTGGAAACCATATTTGCAATGGAAAATATACAAGTAATTAAAAAAAAAACACTCAGAAGACTAAGCCTTTAAAATAAGTTGTAAAAACAAAGTAGAATAGTCTGCTATTTTCTTCTGTGAGTTTTCTATGGCCCAAGGCTATTGGATCTCTAATGCAATTGTCAAAAATTTATGGAAAACTTAGAAGGGATGCTTTAAAGGAAAAACATAAAGATTCTGTAAAACAGATTTTAAAAATAAGCCATGCACTGGTCTGGGCCAGGAGTACTATCATGAATAGGTGAGAATGATTTAAAGGTTATCTGATTTCTCCAATTTCTGTTACATTGTGTCTAAACAAATCTTTTTGTACACATTTGATTCGATATGATTCAATTTTTATGTAATTCAATTTTTAATGTGCTTGAAAATATTAAATAATAAATAATCACTAATAAAAATACTGCATTGCAAAGGGAAAAAAGATTTTCCTATAACGTTAGTAAGAAATCACCATTAGCCATGATACTGACACTCTAACAGTTCAGATTCCATTGGTTGCTACAGCATATGGGAGCAGTTATTTGTAATTTAGATAAAGTAGCTTTTCATTCTAATATTGAGCAGGTTTATTCCAGAAACACTCCACTACTTACTTCCGAAGTAATCATCTCAGTCTTGATGACTGTAGTTTAAACATATTCTTTTACCCTGGTTCATTCAGACAGGTTTTTGCTTTGGCTGTGAAATCCTGTAGTGTTAATCAGTTTGGAATTTTTTGGCACATGACATTTTTAACATGAAAAAAATGAAGAAATTCTGTTGGAGCAGGGTCTTGAGCATTTAAAACTCACCCCTCCCAGCTGTACCAAAGTCATACTGTGAATGAGTGTGTAGCTAAACTTCACGGGATTATTTCTGACCTGTAATTTTATCGAATGCAGGGGGAATTGTCTGGAGAACTGAGCAGAATGCTTTTTTAGCTGCACTTTTGATAATATTTTATTGTATATGGCAGGGACTCTGGGGAGGGGGGGGGAGAAAAGGGGGAGGAAACCAACGCTAGAAAATTGCAGGTTTCAGAAGGCAACTCTTAAATCGAAGAAATTGGACTTCTCCCTTGCACAACGTCTTTCTTTTGACTCACACTTGCAGCGGAACAGGATTTCTACAGCTCATATGGTTTTGCACAAAGACTTAAAAGGGTCACTTGAAACGTTTACAGATGAGAGAACTCACATAAACCTCCCCCGACAGATATTTACCAAGCGCCACTTACTCTTGCTCGCCGCAAGTGTATTCAAGGGTTACTTTTGATGTATTTCTAAGGGAGTTTTTTCCATATCTTACGTCTTAGGAAAGCCAGGTCTCCCTAGAGTTCAAGCAGCACTGCTGCCCGGCATCCCTCAACCCTTTCTAAGCGTGGGAGGGGAGTTCGCTCCCCACGTGGATTCTCATTGCCTCCTCTGTAAACTCACCACCCCGTGCACAGGACGTAATAGGTGTTCTTCGATTTCCATAAAGAGATTAGCATAGCAGGTAATGCCCACGCTAACCATTCCCAGAAAGCTGGGGTTCTTGTCGTTCTTACAAAAACTCTTCCCATTTCTTTTGTGTAGTTGTTCGTGTCTGGCAGTGCGCACGCGCGCGCGCGCGTGGGGGACGGAGGAGGCGGTAGAAGTAGATTTGTTTAAAGAGAGAGAGAGAGAGAGAAAAAAAGAGACTCCTATTGCAATTTCAAGTAAAGTCTGAACAAAACTCTTAGCTGTTTTTCCTGGGGTTAGTCTGGAGGTGTAGGAAGGGAAGTTTTGCAGCTCTGTTCGCTGCAGCGTTTTCTGGAGGACACGGGTGACCCGGAGCCGCGCGGGGCCGCAGTCTCAGCGGCGGAACCCGGCGAGCGCGAGCATCGAATTCTGGAAAGGGTTGGCGGCACGTCCCAACGCCCCTCGGGCGCAGGAGCCCCCTAGGGCGAGTCCCAAAGCTGACGCTTCCTACAGACCCCTGAAAGAAGAGCGGCCCCTCCCTCCGCCACGACCCCCAGGGAGCAGAGGGCGGGCTTTCCCCGAGCCCCCGGCCCCGGCACTGACCTGTGTAGCAGGACGCGCTGCACCGAGTCCAGGTCCTCCAGGTTCCGGGGGGCGGGTTTGGGGATGCTGGACCTGCCCACCTGAAACATGCCCACTGGAGCTAGGCTCGCCGTGCAGGCGTCCAACAGGTAGCGCGCGCAGCCCGGGGGGCGGCCGGCGAGGTCTCACCGCCAACGCTCGCCTCGACCCCGGTCTCCCGTCCGGCTCCCGCCACCGCCAGGAAACCTAGCGCTGAAGGAAAAGGCCGCCTGGCGTCGGACGCGCAAATCCCAGGACCGCAGGCGGCGGTGTGGCCGACCTCTGTCCTCCTTTTCCACTTGCCGACTCGCGCGTATCGTGGGGCACCGCACGCAGGCAAGCGGCGCCGCCACTCGTCGCGCTCCGGGAGCTCGGGGCAGGTGAGGACTGTGCTGGCCACCGCCCCTGTGCCAGGGCTTGCCAGCTGCACAGTGCCCTTTTCCGCCTCTTTCAGTTGTCTGTCCTCGCCGGCAGGGACCCTGGCGCGCGGGGCGAGCCGTCGAGCGCCGCGCGAACCCGCCACCCGGAGCTGCGCTCTTCCGCCGCCTAGTGCAGGCTCCGGCTCCTTCTTCTTCACTTCGTCCTCTCTGGACCGCAAGGCCGCCCCCGCGAGGGACACCGGTGCCCAGGCGCCGCCCCCAGCGGAGGAAGCCACCACCTGAAGCTTCCGTAGCCCGGAGGAGAGGCTCCAGTGACTCCTTGCAAGATCCGAAAATGAATGGGAAGGGGAGCAAGCTGGATGACTGTTCTTAATGGGAATTTAAATTCAGCCCAGAAGAAGCCGTGTAGGTTCACCCATCCATGTAAACGTTTGTCAGTCACCTGCTACGTGCTGCCCTGAGTTCTTGTCCCTGGAGATGCAAGAATGAGTAAAAGATGGTCTGAGTATTCTAGTATGAATCCTTTATTTTTTCTTGGAAATCTTTTTAGCATATATTTGATCCCAGGAGACAGTCTCTTCACTTAGGAATATTAGACGTTTCAATAGACTATTTTATGGTTTGTGGTTGTGCCAAGTCTAAATTTGATGAGTTTTCGTCTTGGAAAAGTGACCCATGTGTGACTCCCTCCTGGGAACCCCTTTGAAGTCAGAATTAGAAGGATGATGAACGGAGAACTGCGAAGCCGTAGTTTTAGATGTGAAATGCCACCGATTATAGATTACAGGTTAATTCTACATGGTAGTAGATTAATTTTAAATGGCAGAGTAATTAATGTATTGGCTATTCACTGTAGGATCTACAAATGTCACCTGTAAATCTGTCTTAGGTAGTCGTCTACAATCAGGTTTGACTTCTTGGTCAAGTGGGTGAAGAGGATGAACGGTGAGGTCCCTTCTCTTAGTATACAGACTGCTACTTACTTCTGCATTCAGTATGTCAACGTCCTCCTGTTTGCTTTTTTTAAAAAGTTTTTTAATTTAAAAGAGTTACAGAGAGAGATATCTTCTATTTGTTGGTTCACTGTCCAAATGATTGCGCTGCCCAGGGGTTAGCCAGGCTGAAGCCCGGAACCCAGAACTCCATCTGGGTCTCACATGTGGGTGCAGGACTCCAAGCACTTGGACCATCTTCTGCTGCCTTCCCAGGTGCATTAGCAGGGACCTGGATCAGAAGCAGAGCTCAGCAGCTGGGACTCAGACCCATGTTCTCCCTCTGATGGGATGTCAGTGTCACAGGCCGCAGCTTAACCTGCTGGGCCACAATGATGGCCACATCTTACCCCTGTCTCATACTCTGAGTTTAGTGCACTAAGCATCTGAAAATAGGGCAGACATTTGGCCTATAGTTAAGACACCATGTAGGGTACCTTTATCCCACATTGGAGTACCTGGGCTCCTGTCCAGATTCCTGCTAATGCAGACCTTGGAAGGCAGGGGGAATAAACAGCAGATGGGAACACTGTCACTCTGCGTTCACTGTCAAATAAAAATAGATAAATAACAATAATCTGAAAATGTTCATAGAATTTGAAATTAATCCCAAGGAAATGATTGTTTTAAATGAAGATCGTTATGTTCATTGACAGTTTATCAGTGAAAACAGCAAAGACATAAATAGCAAGAACTTAAATAGGTTAAGGTTTATTCATACAATGAACTAATGTATTTAGTAAAAGTAAATTAGAATACCTATATCCTAAGAAAACATTTATCATTTAAAGTTTAGGATTTAAATATTAAGGAGGAAAAATTGTATGTTTAGTTTTTGGTAATTATATACAAAGTATGAAATTGATTGAACATTCACTAAATCTTAGAAGTGATTATATCTGGGGGCCAGCACTGTGGCTTAGTAGGCTAAGCTTCTGTAGTAGGCTAGGCTTACAGTCTGGGAAGGCAGTGGAGGATGGCCCAAGTACTTGGACTACTGCCACGCATGTGGGAAACCAGGAAGAATCTTCTGGCTCTTGGTTTTGGATTGGCCCAGTTCCAGCCCTTGAAGTCATTTAGGGAGTGAACCAGCAGATGGAAAATCTCTCTTTCTGTCTCTCCCTCTCTATAACTCTGCCTCTCAAATAAATAAATAAAATCTTTTTTAAAAGGTGATTATATCTAGCAGTAGAATTATGAATGTTTTTAATTTTTTTCTTTATACTTTATGATATTAAAATTTCATTACAATAAATATACACATTTTTAAAATCAGGCTATCACTGTAAATTTGTAAAAGGAATAATGTGAATAATAGTTGGCAACTGAATTCTGCATGTGAAAATTTTCAGTTATCTATTTTAGATTATTACTCTTGAATGTACATAGATGGTTTTGCAAAATATTGTACCATTTAAGGGTATATGGGTAGCCTATATTTTTAAAAAAAGACCATTACAAATTTACTATTTAAGGAATAAGCTTTATGCAAATCAAATAATTGCAATTTTAGCAATTTATCTTTTGTTTTAAACTACTAGAAAACTTTTCCTCTGACTCTAAATTTTCTGAAAAGTCCACAATTCTGTGGATTACTAATCAATTATGTGTTAGAAGTAAATGTAGGCTCACAAGTATCATATTTTCTTTTTTTTTTTTTTTTTTGACAGGCAGAGTGGACAGTAAGAGAGAGAGACAGAGAGAAAGGTCTTCCTTTGCCGTTGGTTCACCCTCCAATGGCCACCGCGGCCAGCACTCTGCGGCCGGCGCACCGCGCTGATCTGATGGCAGGAGCCAGGTACTTATCCTGGTCTCCCATGGGGTACAGGGCCCAAGGACTTAGGCCATCCTCCACTGCACTCCCTGGCCATAGCAGAGAGCTGGCCTGGAAGAGGGGCAACCGGGACAGAATCTGGTGCCCCGACTGGGACTAGAACCTGGTGTACCGGCGCCGTTAGGCAGAGGATTAGCCTAGTGAGCCACGGTGCCGGCCAAGTATCATATTTTCTTAAAGTGAGATAGGCTACTCGTCTACCAAGGAATATTGGTTCAGAGCTAGTGTTTTGTTGCAAGAGTTGAGCTGCCACTTGTGATGCCAGCATCTCATATGAAAGCTGATTTGAGTCCCAGCTACTCCACTGTGATCCAATCCAGCTCCTAGGAGTTGGAAAATGCACCAGTGAAAGCAACAGAAGATGGCCCTAGTACTTGGTCCCTGCTATTTGCATGGGAGACCCAGATGGAGTTCCAGACTCCTGGTTTTGGCCTGGCCCAGCCCTGGCCATTGCAGCCATTTTGAGGATTGAACTAGCAGATGGAAATCTTCCCCCAACACCCGGAACTCTGCCTTTGAAATAAAATAAACAGACCTCTTTTTTTAAAAAAGATTTTTATTTATTTTACTTGAAAGAGTTACAGATAGAGAGAGGCAGAGGCAGAAAGAGAGGGAGGGGGAGATCTTCCATCTACTGGTTCATTCTCCAAATGGGCTGGGCCAGTTCGAAGCCAGGAACCAGTAGGTTCTTCGGGGACTCCCATGTAGGTGCAGGAGACCAAGAATTTGGGCCATCTTCCACTGCTTTCCTAGGCGCATTAGCTGGGAGCTGGATTGGAAGTAGAGCAGCAGAGACTCGAACCAGCACCCATAAGGGATGCCCACACTGCAGGCTCCATAAATAAATCTTTAAAGAATTAAGAGAAGAGACACACAGAAAGAGAAGGTGATATGAAGACATCAGAAACGTGGTGAGACTCCGGAGTCAGAGACTGGGATGATGCTTCTATAAACTGAGGAATGGCAAGGATTCCCAGGAAAAAGGCATGGAACAGAATCTCCCCCAAGAACCTGTAGAGGCAGTACTGCTCTTCTGACACCTTGATTTGACTTCCAGACAGTGAAAGGGTACATTTCTGTTGCTTTAAACAACTTAGTTTTTGGTAATTTGGTGTAGTAACCCTAGGAAACTAAGATCACTGGCAGTGGTTGCAGTGGCGTCTCCTCCTCCTCCTCTACTTCTTCCTCCTCCTCCTCCCCCCTCCATCTTCTTTGTGAAATAGGAGACAAAAATCATCTGCTGAGCGTGTCAGTACAGGTGGGTGATGGAAGTTCGAGGAGAATGAAGAAAAGGCTAACTGTTGTGGTGCAAGGAAGATGGAATGACAAGAGTAATGAATGCAAAGAGCTTGAGGTCATATTGAGGGTCGTGATTGGCAACATTTCCAGAGTGACCTCCCTTAAGATGCTGTACCCCAATCCTCAGAACCTGAGAATGTGATGAGATACCAGTCTTGTGCTTATGTTGATATTCAAGGAGTCTTCAAGATGTTCATTGAAAATATGAATTCTCTTTTAATTGCATTTTCCATGAACTTCTGAAGTTCCATTGTATTATAGGGAGATTATCTGGGTGAGAAAATCTAATCACATGAGCCCTGAATAGCTAGGCTGGGTGTTGTGGCACAACCATTAAGCTGCCACTTGGGGTGCTGTGTCTCATATTGGAGCACTGGGATTCAAGTCCCAGCTACACAGACTGCCATCCAGCTTCCGGCTAATGGATATTCTGGGAGGCAGCAGATGATGGCTCAAGTATTTGGGTCCTTGCCACCTATGTGGGAAACCTGAATGGAGTTCCTGGCCCCTGGCTTCAGCCTGACCCAGCCTTGGCTGTTATAGGTATTTGGGGAGTGAACCAGAGAATGGAAGATTCATTCTCTCTCTCTCTCTTTGTCTCTCTGTCTCTCTGTCTCTCTCTCTCCCTTCATTCCTCCCTCCCTGTAGAAAGTAGAGAGTTTCTTCAGCTTATGCCAAAAGAGGAAATTAGAGTATGGGCATTTAGCCTAGTGGTCAAGATGCTGGTTAAGATACATGAACATGTCCCATATTGGAGTACCTGGGTTCAGTTTCCAGCCTCAAATCCTGATTCCAGGTTTCTGCTGATGCAGACCCTTGGAGACACCAATAATGGCCCAAGTAATTGGGTTCCTTCCACTCATGTGAGAGATCTGGTTTTACTTCTTGGCTCCAGACTTTGGCCCTGGCCCAGTTCCAGAAGTTTCATGCATTTGGGGAGGGAACCTGCAGATGGAGCTGCCCTACTGCCCCACCACTCAAATGGTTTTTTTGTTTTTGTTTTTTAAAGAGGAGTTAGAGATTTCCTCATGAGAAGAACTTTATGGGGCAGTTCTGGTTTTCTGGTGGAGGGACTATATGAGAAGGGACATAGATGGCCTCCAAAAGCTAAGTGGGCCCCAAATGACTACCAGCAAGGACACAGAACCTCAGCTGCATCGCAAGTGGAGCAGGTGCGGGGACACTCCATGCTGGGCAGCCTTCCAGAGCCCTGGGGAACAGCCCATCGTGAATCCCAGGCTTCTATTGGCCTTTGCTGCCTGTCTGTAAGAGATGGAACTGCCTCATGGAACTGGTCACGTGAGTGAGTGTTCTGTTTCGCTTGACTCCAGCGAGCAGCAAAAGCGCAGCCTAAGATGCCGTGGACCACGGGGGTAACCGGAACAAAG